TCATGGCAGTTTAACGTATCTACTTTGTGACTACGAAGTACAAATATAGATACAAAGTTAATATTTTCCAAGTTATGGGATACCACACAAGGTTTGGTTTAACGTATCTACTTTGTGACTACGAAGTACAAATATAGATACAAAGTTAATATTTTCCAAGTTATGGGATACCGCACAAGGTTTGGACACCTACAATTACATTAATCGAAGTATTGATTTATTGGTTTAAAAATCGATCAGAAGAAAGGAAGAAAAAAAAACACTCCGAAAACAATACTAGTTACGAATACACGAATACTGGTATGTAGAAGAGACCAAACTAAACCCATTCTTGATATTATTATCAAACTTAAGCATCAGAAGTTGGTGAAGTTTTTTATCCATAATTAACAAAAGTTGGATAAATTAAATTTGGTGTTTTTGTTTAAAAAAAAAACGTTTTCATTACTATAGTCGAGAACAAGATTTAAAGAAAGAGTGCCCAAGTGATGATTCGGTGTGTTCTAGTCATTCCAAAGTCTCGGTTTCAAAATTAATCATAATTACGATTCTGGACTTCGTAATTTTTCGAAAAGATTTGACTTAAATTTTGTTATTTGTAGTAACAAACACCAATATGTATATATATTAATTATAGACTTATTATTTGGCTAAAAGTTGCCGAAGAGACCATTTTATAAATTACAATAGGCCTTCGGAAACTCAAACCCAACAAAATAAAAACGAACAATAGTTGGTATATTGAAAATTGTATGAAGTTTACCGTTCTTCTGGTATTCACTTCAGCGTTCAGTGACAGCAGATAGGACACGAGTTCCATGTGTCCGTTCTGAGCTGCGACAAATAAAGGCGTAGCATTGTCCTGTATACAAAACAAGCGTTAAATAAGTAGCAACATGAAATAACATATAATCCAGGTAATTTATAAGGTCATTACAAACCACTAAAGTTTAAAGGTGAAAATATTCACCCAAATAGATGCTGGACAGGCTATTTCAAAATGTTAATATTGACCTTTTGGGACAAAAGATGGGTTCTACTGTACGCCCTTATTCACTGTGATTTAATTACAATATATATATCGTCATTGACTAGTTATCCAAACGGGTGTATAGGTAGGATATGGAGGATTGAAACTTCGTTTGCAAAAAAAAACGACTAATCACACTACAGAAAATAGAAAGTCATTTTACTAAAATCCAACGTTTTGGCTCGTGGCTTTCTCAAGAGTTACAGCGTCACCTACAAATACAAACTGATAACTGAAAAGAACACATACAACAACGCGTAAGCCGAAACATCGGGTTTCAATAAACTCATTGCATTCTGGAGTGTGATTAATAGTTTTTGTAAACATACTACAATAATTACTGGACCATAATCCCTCGCGAAAATTGCCAATTTTAACAATTCTTATAAAAATACTTAAAAAGTCCACCATCCTCTGCTCCTTTTCAAACATACTCAGCAGTGTATATTACCGTCATACGAGCGTTGATATCCGCACCATGTTTGACCAATTCCTTTACCACACTGATGTATTGCCACTGAGAGGCTACTATAAGTGGGGTGCCGCCGTCCTGTGTAAAAACAAAACTATAAGTGATAGTTCAGTAACTTTCGTCTTCACTACATCTGGAATTTCATTATTACGTATTGGCATGTATCGGATCGTTCTCATTTTTACATTTCTGTATCAAGTACGTTTGGAAAAAGAAATTTACATATATTGAGGGAGAAACTCAGATGTATGTTGAAAAATAAACTTAGATATATTGAAAGAGAAACTTAGATGTATGTTGAAAAATAAACTTAGATATACTGAAAGAGAAACTTAGATGTATGTTGAAAAATAAACTTAGATATATTGAAAGAGAAACGTAGATGTATGTTGAAAAATAAACTTAGATATATTGAAAGAGAAACTTAGATGTATGTTGAAAAATAAACTTAGATATACTGAAAGAGAAACTCAGATGTATGTTGAAAAATAAACTTAGATATGTTGAAAGAGAAACTTAGATGTATGTTGAAAAATAAACTTAGATATATTGAAAGAGAAACTTAGATGTATGTTGAAAAATAAACTTAGATATATTGAAAGAGAAACTTAGATGTATGTTGAAAAATAAACTTAGATATATTGAAAGAGAAACTTAGATGTATGTTGAAAAACAAACTTAGATGTATGTTGAAAAACAAACTTAGATATCAAAAGAAAATCTCAGATATATTGAATGAGAAATGTAGATATACCGAGAGAAAAACTTAATTATATGTTGAAACTTACACAGTGAAAGAGAACGCCAAGTTCATGTCATTTAACACAATATCATAACAAGCGATCTCTGAATTCAGAAGTAAAAATATTAAATTCCCCATTATTTTTCACATGTAATAAGCCGCAAAAGAAAAACTGAAATAGTATATTTAAGAAAAAAAAACTTCTGCAAATGGAAACTGGACTAAACAGTCACCCTCTTTCACCTATAGAACCAGAGACACATAAACATTGTATGGCCTAGAACCTTCACCAAAAGTCATGACTGACCAAATTAACAGGGTCCACCGTGGCTCCACTCTCTAGGAGCAGCTTCACAATGTCCAGATGACCACTCTGAGCAGCAAAAAACAAGGCAGACGTACCTGTCTAAAATATTATAGAACGAATTATATTAGTTTAATAAAGACTAATAATAATGTTAAACAATACAACTTGTAAGTGTAATAGAAAAAAAAAAACATGCGTAAAGTATAATCTTGACTAATGTCACAGAGACAAGAAAAAAAAGTTATTCATTGTTAAGTTTATCGCTTAAAGAGAAGTCCAAACTATAAATTCGGTAACTGGAGTAGGTGGCCCGGCATGGCCAGGTGGTTAGAACGCTCGATTCGCAATCCCCTCGTCCCACCAAACATGCTCGCCCTTTTAGCCGTGGGGGGCGCTATGTTGTTACGATCAATCGCACTATTCGTTGGTAAAAGAGTAGCCCAA